CAAAGAAGACTCTGGGGTTGATGATTTATCATAAGGGGCAGTGTTGACTTACTGTTTTCCTTCAAGAACTCATATAAAGGTCTAGAAGGAACTTGAGCAATTCTAGACCAGCTCTCTCCTTTTGTAATGGAGGACAATGAGGTTTAACAGAAAAAAGCATACCCACATTCTACATCTACACAGAGCACAGCTGGGTTGCAGTCCTAAACCCTGTGGCCTGAGTTCAAGCTCTTGGCCCAGATTCACTCTTCAATGGAGAGCTGATACTTCGAGAAGGGCTACAGTAGAAAAGGCAGACTTCAAATTTTAATGACTGATGCCCCCAGATCTCTTTCATCCTATTTTCATTCCCCAGCACTACCCCAACACAACAATAAAAATAACTTTGAAAATGTCAGATCACTTTCAAAATGACTACAGTGGTACCAGCTGTTTCTTTAGATTACTTAATGTCACACAAAATTTAAAACATTCTGTCCTGATTCTCCAAAGAAGGAAACCAGGTGGTCACCTTTACTTTTATACAATTTCCTGTTTTCTTAGGAATTCAGGTTGGTTTCAACAATACCAGTCTCCATTCTAAGCATCGTTTTAAGAGGTTTTTTAAACAGCAACCATTTCCTTCATTAAAAAATAGAACACGGTCTCTATTGTTCAATGAACAGGTGAGGACTTGAGAGAGAGAGTGGTCCCCATGACACCAGTACCTCAAAAGAGGAGAAGTGCTAAAGAACTGGGGTTTGAAATGCATGAAGTAGGAAAACCAGGTATTTGTTCACTCATTGAAGATTCGCTGAAGTGGCTGTTCTGATTCCTGAAAGAGGAAATGGCAAGGCTCTCCACATAGCAGGACATTTTGATGGTATTCTCGCTGCTCCTGTGCAGCCCCCAGCTTTCCATGTGGGGTTGCAGTACAGGGGCAACTAGAATGGGAACAGTTGTGCAACACAGAGCAAAGTGTTCAAAAGCAGACAGGCTCTTACTAGTACCTCATGTCACTTAGTACCCTAGTGCTTAGCTATTTAGATGATAATCTTACTAAGTAATAGGCACTGAGCTTTTTTAAAGGTCTGAAAAAAGTATGTCATGTATACTCAATGAATATTGGTGTGTGTGTCTGTGTGTGTGTGTGTATGTATGAGTGTTTGTTGATATACAGATATATATATGATTTACTTTGCAATATGATACATGCAACCTTAGCTAAAGTAGATCACAAGTCTATAAAGACACTGGATTCACCACCTTGTGTCAATTCTACTTAAGAATCTGTCAATGACAGGACCACCAAGTAAAATGATTTGGGAAACCAAACTTTAGATCTTAAATCTATTTTCCTTAATAGTCTATTGTACATTTGTCTGTAGATCTTTTATCTAAAGAAGAATTTACTTTGAATTATTTAAACAACTCACAATATAAAAACACGAACATGGTTGGCAGCAAGATACAGTGTAAACACCATGAACTTGAAAATCCAAAGGAAAGGCCTGATGTTGAACACTGTCTTGGTCATTTTAACTTAATTTCTGATTCTCAATTTCCTCCTATGCATGTTGCCAAAATAGTAACCACTTCCTAAGTTTTACGAGTTCATTTTTTTTCTGCATTATTATGTGACAGGTCCTAGCTCAATGCCTTACCCTCAAGAGAGCCACATCGTTGTTGATTCTACTCTCACATTATGTCCAGTGAAATACTGTCCTCGGCTAGTCCTTGTATGCACATGTACAAGGCTTTTAAGAAAAAACATGGCAAAGATAGAAAATAAAGAAAATAGAGGGATCACACTGTTGCCCTTCATCTTCTGGAAACTTCATCCCCTAGAAGTAAAATTAGATGCCTTCTAATTTGAGGATGCATTCAATTTGCACTTCTCTTCCTGATCTCCTTGCAAAAAACCCCAAATAACCACCCTCCACCGTGTCCCCAAGCTATGTGCACCGCACAAAGCTCTGGGAACAAGAGTGGATGAGTCTGGCATTGATGCCCTGCTTTTCTACAGGGATTATCTTCTTTTTCTGACCTAGGATGTTAGAAACACCTGAACTAGTCTGAAATAAATCTTGAAATATTTGGATTTCCTGTCCAATGAATAATATGTGGTGCTATTTTCTGTTTTCCATGATGTACCCTGTGTCAAAGTTTACCCCACTGACCCTTACAAATTATTGGGACAATGGTCATTATTTTCTAGTTTCTTATATGAAAAAGATTTTTTTCATCTTTTGTAATGCTACTATGATCTCTAGTAGCTGGGAAACAAGTTTCCTCATTAATGTAAGGGAAAGGAAGGCTGTTTTTGTTTATTTTCTGTCTTTTTTTCCCCCAGGTAGAAAAATGCCAGCAGGCACAAGCCTTGATTTGTTTTGAAGAAAAATGAAATAAGCTCAATTTTTTCCAAAACTGAGGAAAGAATCAAGCAAGAGACTTCTGAGACAGACTTCAGGAACTCAGTCAGCACATTTTAAAGACCTCCTTTTACTTGTTTTTTTTGAGAGCCAGGCCTGAAATAACTGATGGTTTTTTTTCTCTTTTGGTAGCTGGGTAACATGGCAGCTTTTCAGCCACCCTCTCCCTTGTAAACAGGTTTTAATGGGCTGACATGGGCTAATAATCCAGGCAGCACAGCGCCTGGATGTTTTAGAGCAAAGTTCTGGCAGGGTTTGCACTGTGTTAAAGCTGCATTTTTTACCTGAAGCCCACAAGACCCTGTGCTCAAAAATGTCACCAATTACATGGAAATAGCCCAATGTCGGCTTATGTTTTTCTTCTTCAAGTGCAGCGTTAACTTTTATAACTCTGTGCATGAAAAATATTATGTTTCTAAGTTATTAACTCACCTCCATTAAAAGGAATCTTATGCATTTCTGAAAAGTACTGTGACTACACAAATTCACTCAGTTTTTATGACTCTATGGAGTGAAACCTTTTCTAGATATAGGTCTTGAATCAGAATGGAAGGGAAAAAAATGTCAACTAGCTTTCCAACACTGCACTAAGGATTTTAGATCCACTAGTTCATTTAATCGCCATTAGAGTCTTGTGATGTAAGAATTTAACTTTTCATCTCATGCTATAGGTAGATTCTAAGAGCGTCCCCAATGATTGATGGCTTCTAATATCATACCCTTCTATAATTTTCTTGGCTTAATTTGCTTGTTTCTAATGAGCACAACATGACAAAGACTGGCTTTTGTCCCAGTGTCTTGTGGATCACTCACTCTGGGGTTAGGGCTGTCATTTCATGAGGCAGCCTCCTGGGGAGACCATGGGGTTAAGCTTGGAAGCAGATCTTCTGAGGCCTGCCAACAGCCCCACGAGTGTACTTGGAAGGAGATCTACCCCACTCGAACATTGAGATGACTGCATCCAGCCAGAGTTACACAGCCAAAGTGGCCCTGGATTCCTGGTTCTTAGAAACTGAGACATGATCAATGTTTTCAACCACTAAATTTTAGTATAATTTGTTACATAGCTATAAATAACTAATACACTTTCTCCTACGTATGAGACAAAATTAAGAAGTTGTCCAGGGTCACAGAATAAGAAGAGGTGAATTTTGAACCTGTCTGTCTGACTCATAGACCCAAGCCCTTCTGCTTTTCCCAGCGGTTCAACAGGCCTTTTTGTTCACTTATTGGTATTTGAGGCTTTCCAATAATCTGACCTGATCTTGATGATTAAGTCATGTCCTTTACTATTAAACTTGATTTTCTCTAATGTATCTGGACAACAAAAGTCACAGTCCAGTGGGGGACAAAAGACACTTAAATTAATTTAAAATGTAATGTAGTGTAATCTAGAATGGTGATGGGCTCAGGTGTACGGAGGAAGGGGACTTGATTCCCACTGTGCAATCAAGGAGGCTGATCAAAAAGGATTTGTGGACCCAGCAGCATGCTTCAGCCCTAATGCCTGGCATGTGGTCTGACCTCAGTAAGCACTTGTCAACTAAGTCAACACGCTGCATCTGGAAAGACAGAAGATATTAATAAGACAACAAATGGAGGAGAGAGAAAGCTCCACTGTTCCACGTTGAAGAAACAGTAGAGCCAGAATCTCTAAAACAAGATTTGTTCATAGATCTGCTCTACGTTGCTATACTCATACATCAGAATTCACAC